ATCAAAAAAAAGTACAGGGTTTAAATTGCGACGAGAGAAAAGTACAGGGTTTTAAATGGAATTATCCCTATCTTTTATAGTGATTTATTTATTTTTTAAAATATATAATGATTTAAAATTATTATATTTGTTATTTTATTTCAATATTGAAAAATGTATAATTACTGCACTATAAAATATTTATTATAATTTAACAAAATTTAATTCTTTTTAAAAATTTTAATTTATACTAGTTTTTATTTATTTAAATTGCTAAAACATATTAAACTATAAAATAATATTAAAAAAATGAGGCCCAAAAAATTTGAAAGCCCTGTGCGGATGATCCAGCTATATCCCTACCCCTATAAGACTGCCCTATATATATATATATATATGTGTTTGGTTAGGAATTTGAAGGAGAGATGAAGAAACAAAGCAAGAAAGGTGAGAGGGGAAATTTTTGGTGAAGAGTGTGTTGAACGCAAAGAGAATCGGAAGATCGCCTTTCTTTTTAAGGGCAACCCACATGATTTTCTGATGTCGTAGGTTAGAATATATATATATATATATATATATATTATTACATATTTTGTAAAGTATAGTTACAAAATTCTTTAAAAAGTTGTATTGAGTTGTTGAAAGGCTTTAGAGCAATTTCAGTATTTACAATTGAATTTGAATAATTAAATTACCAAGAGTCTGGAGATATTCATTACCCTTGTGGTATAGTAGTAAAGAACCGTCAAACTTGAGAAAATAAAATAAAATTTATAGAGTTAAAATAAAACGAGAACAAAATCCACAACTAAAGAAAGGGGGAAATAAACAAAAAAAAAATGATGACGTGGTGAAAAAAAAAGTCGGAAGCCACTCTATCAGAGCCTGGTTTCGATCCAGGGACCTGTGGGTTATGGGCCCACCACGCTTCCGCTGCGCCACTCTGATTTGTTATTTCTTACCAGTTTTAGTAATTGGAGAGCATTGAAACGGATTATTTATTTATTATTCTCGTCGAAACAATAAAAAAAAAATGAGAGGGAAAATCTATCGGATAATGTGATTAGATTCGTCAAATGGAGAGATGATCCATTGGATTCGGATCTGATCGGCTGCCACGTTCACTGAACCCTAACTGTTATATTAAATGCAACTAATACTGTCTCTATAATTTTACCTAAATTCTTATTTACTGATGCACACAAAATTATATAATTTTAAAACTTCAACACCAATATTTATTTCATAAATATATACTATATTTTTAGAATTTCTTCCAGGACTTTTTATTATATTATATGATACTATGCAACTAATATGATTGATTTTGACTAGTGTATGATCCGTATTTTCCTTCGTCTCCCTGACCATTAACACACACACACATATATATTTATATATATATATATATATATATCGGTGTTTAGAAAAACTGTCTAATTCTCATTTATATCCTCAATGTAAATTATAATGTTTTTTTGTTAGAAAAGTTCTAACAGATCTCAAAATTTGTTTCATTAAAATATTTTATGCATTAATATTTTGAAATTCAAAACTCCCTCCGTTTCAAAGTAATTATTGTTTTAGGTTATTTCACATTTTAAAAAAAAATAGAAAAAATCACATATACCCTTATTTAATGATAAAAACAATGTTATCATTAATAATTTATTGGAATTTAATAGGAATAAAATTGAAAACTATTACAAAAAATATCTTGAAAATATAGAATGACAAATATTTTGAAATATGGAAAATAACCTAAAACTACAAATATTTTATAACGGAGGGAGTAACATGTTAGTATTTCTCTTCTACTAATAAAGTTACTTCTATTTTTTTTCAGCCAATTATCCACAACATATCTATTTTTTAAAATGTAGGGTTTCAAGGTTTCAAAATTATGATTTTAAACTAACTAAAACCGCACCAAAAATAATTTGCTCCATCCAATATACCGTCCATAAAAAAAATTCAAATTTTTCTGATCACAAAAAATACACAACAGAAGTACATTATTAAAGAAAAAAAAATCAAAACAAATGCAAACGCATGTTTTATGATCACAATTAAAAAGAAAAAGAAAAAAGATGATTTAAAATTCGACATGATTGGTCCGTACAACATCCTCATAACGAAGTTTTTTTTTTGACGTCGCAAAAGTAAAAATCTTTGCATTAAAAAAAACACGTCAATCAAAATCACGAATATAAAGAGAGCTTGGAAAATAAGAAGTGGGAGAGGGAATATAATTAGATGATGCTGAGGAAACAAACAAACATACCCTGAAAAGATGGTGAGTTTGTCTAAGAAGCGGGGGGCACTCGAGTAAGTGCTTTGTCAGATTTCGCGTGCATTTCTACACCGCGGTGAGAGAGAGAGAGAGAGAGAAAGAGAGAGAGAGAGAGAGATTACAGCTTCACCATTGATTTACATTACATCAAACGTCCTCCCTCGCTCTCTCTCTCTCTTCTTCTTTCCTTTTTCTTGGAAGGGGGTAATCGGAAAAAGAAGTTTCGATTTCTGTTTAGTGAAGGGTCACTGTTCGATGGTGAAAAAGCAGATGAAAGTTTGAGGCTTTTTTTTCATCATCTGGGTCGAGACGCTTCTGCTTCAGAGAGAGGCGTTTTAAACATCGATGATTGTCTGTTTGTATCTATTCGGAAAAGTATCTGTTCACGGTGGTTGTGGTGGATGTTCAAAGATGAGGAACAGCTCATACTTTTGAAGGAAAAAAAAAAGGTTTTTGATGTTATGTGACTTGTGGGGTTCTCTTCATCTCCTTTTTTAAGAGTCCTTTGGGCCATTGGGTCGGGGGACAGAGAGAGAGAGAGAGAGAGAGAGGGATGTGTATACTTTTATATAACAATAGGAATTGTGCTTGCTAATGATTAAGAGAGCCAGAAAAAATCGAAGCTTGCTTCTGGGGAAGAAAAAGGTGAATCCTTTGGTTTTTCATCTCTCTGCTCTGTCGTTTCCTCTCCTCGATTGTTTTCTCTCCGTTTGATTTCATCTGGGTTTCCACTGATTCATACACATTTCCCTCTGATTTTCGCCGTTTCGTTCTACAAGCTCCTGAGAACAATGTCTTCTGCTTACAGAAAGCTCCAATCCCTATAGTTTAGTGACGTCTTTTGCGATGAGATCTTGCCAAAGATGGCAGCTTGGCAGATCGAATCGATTCCTGAAAACAGAATAAAACAGATATCAAGGCTTGCAAGTTCCACTAAAGAAAAAGAATCAAGGAAAGTGGAGAATGTTGCTCTGATTTTTTTTTTTGCCTGTTCGAGGAAAGATTTTTTTTTCCCTTCCTTTCCTTTTAAGAAAACATCCAAAAAAGGATTTGATTCTTCCTGTCTGTTGAATAGGTGGTAATCTTCAACTAATGCTAAGAAATTCCGAATTTTTTTTTGTAAACTTACAGGAACACTTTGGCATCGCAACAAAGGAGCAAACTTTGGATTCGGGTTTCTTCATTGTCATCTAAGTCTGAGGCTCTTTGGAAACATTTCGAAGTGGGCATCCATAAGGGGAAAAAGGCTCGTCTGTGAATGTGTGAAGCACTTAGGAAGAAAGAAGGATTAGATAAAAAGCAAGGGAAAAAGAAAAGATTGGTGTCAGTTTCGAGCGAAGTGGGTGGATTGTGCATCTCTAAGACTGTGTGTGTATATATTATATATATACACAATTCTTCCCAAGAATCCATATGGGTTTGTTTCCAATGTTCTTATTGAGATGTGAAACTTCATAAAACAATGTCTCCTTGAATGACCCTTTTTCCTTCCGGAGTCCTCGGCCTCTGTTTCTGACTCAGGAGGCAGCCATTTCTTCCCGTTCTTTTTTTTTTTTTGGGTTTCCGATTCTGAATCTTGGTTTTGGAGAAACTCTCTGTTCATACCAAGAAACTTGCCCTCGTCTCTAGCTTCCTCTGAGATTTGGATTTCTGGTAGATCTCTTTTCTATTGGGTTCTTCAAAAGGGTTGTGCTCTGAAAGTTGTGTTCTTGGAAGTTCTCTTCGCTTTCTGGGTTTGCTCTGAAGACATTGCAGTGTTGTGGCGGAAACAACTTGTGCAAAAATGAAGTTTATGAAACTTGGATCCAAACCCGATTCATTTCAGTGCGAGGGTGACAACATCAGGTGTGTATAAATCCTCATATTGGCTGTATACTCTCTCTCTCTCTCTCTGCGCTGCCTATAGCCATGGATAGAGAGCTAAGAATTAGCTTCTAGATCTGAAATGTTAGGAATGCATTGAGTTATTTCATGGTTCTTGTTCTCAGAAACAGAAACATATATTACATGTGTTTAAACTCTGTCTCTTGTCCGTTTACCTTTTAGGTATGTGGCGACAGAGTTAGCAACAGATGTTCTCGTCGTCATAGGCGATGTCAAGTTCTATCTCCATAAGGTATAAACCCTAATCTTTACAAACAAAAAAGAAAAGCATAGAAGCCGATTTGTCCTGATAAAGAAAAAAAAACACCCCATGAATGTTTTTTGTTCTTTCTCAGTTTCCATTGATGTCCAAAAGTGCACGCCTCCAGAAACTCATCACCACAACCTCAAACGAAGACAGCCAACATGATGAGATCCACTTAGCAGACATCCATGGCGGTCCTGCTGCATTTGAGATATGCGCCAAGTTCTGCTACGGCATGACTGTAACCCTAAATCCCTACAACGTGGTCGCAGCTCGTTGTGCTGCCGAGTTCTTGGAAATGCACGAAACCGTCGAGAAAAGCAATCTTGTCTACAAGATCGAAGTGTTCTTGAGCTCGAGTATCTTCCATAGCTGGAAAGATTCCATCATCGTTCTCCAAACCACGAGGTCTCTTTTTCCGCACGCCGAGGAACTCAAGCTGGTCGGCCGATGTATCGACTCCATTGCTTCGAAAGCTTCGATGGATACCTCGAAAGTCGAGTGGTCTTATACGTACAACAGGAAGAAGCTCGAGAACGGAAGCAACGGGATCAGAATACAGCAGGCGGTTCCAAGAGATTGGTGGGTGGAAGATCTTTGTGATCTGCACATTGATTTGTATAAACGTGTGATCACAACGATCGAGGCGAAAGGGAAGGTTTTGGCCGATGTTATTGGAGAATCACTGAATGCATACGCCATAAGAAGGATACCCGGATTTAGCAAAGGCTCGGTACAGGTCAGCGACTTCGCAAAGTATCGGTCTTTGGCTGAAACTATCGTCGAGCTTATCCCGGGCGAGAAAGGTGGTATTTCTTGCAGTTTCTTGATAAAGCTCTTGCGGGCATCGGTTATTCTTGGATGTGAAGAAACCGTGAAGAACAGATTAAAGAAACGGGTTAGCGAGCAGCTGGAAGAGGCATCAGTGAGTGATCTTCTGCTGTATGATGTGGATATGGTGAAAGCCCTAGTTGAGGAGTTCTTGGCACGAGGTCCGAAACCCGATCTGCCTTCTACAGAAGACGAGTTATCATCAACGGATGTTTCGAAGGCATTGGTGGCCAAAATCATCGATGGATACCTCGCTGAGAAATCAAGGGATCCCGATCTGCCACTTCAGAAATTTCTCTCCCTCGCGGAGATTGTTTCAAACTTCCCGAGACAGTCTCACGACGGGGTTTATCGGGCAATAGACATGTTCCTCAAGGTATCGTCTTCTCAAAAACTCGTCTCAACTGGAAACATATACTCACCATTTTATAGATTTGGAGCTGAACCGGCATCGATGAGCTGCATTTCGAACAGAAGTTTGAGCATTTCTTTCCACTTCTTGTTCATCTTTCGCTTAAAGGGTCGTATTTTCATATAATTTCAGGAACATCCCGGGATCACAAAGAGCGAGAAGAAGAGAATTTGCCGGTTGATGGATTGCAGGAAACTATCAGCAGAAGCATGCGCACACGCAGTGCAGAACGAGCGTCTGCCATTACGTGTGGTCGTCCAAGTTCTCTTCTTTGAACAAGTCAGAGCCAACGGCTCGTCCACGGGGAACAGCACGCCCGATCTCCCGGCCTCGCGGTCCACGACCACGACCACGAAAACCGAAGACGAGTGGGACCCAGAAGAGATCAAAGCCCTCAGAGGGGAGCTAGCCAGTCTGAGACAGGCCAAGAACAATCAAGAAACCGACAAGGGGAAGGCGGCGGCGATGAGAGGGATGGCGGTTTCGAGGGTGTTTTCTAAGATGTGGTCGGGCAAAGACAGGAGCGGAGAGATCAGTAGCTCGGGGACTTCGAGTCCTGGCTCTGTCAATGAAGACTCAAAGTCTTGTTCTTCGACGAGCAAGAGGCATTAATGGAGGTTTCTTTCAATAAAAAAAAAAAAGCTCAGATGTGTAAGCAGAATCAGCTTTAGTGTTTGTCTTCTTCTTCTTCTTTCTCGACTAACCTCTTTTGTTTCTCTTAGCAAACTCTGATCTTATCAGACCAGACCATTGTCTAATCCCTGCAAGAAAACCCAACATGTTCTTCTATTATTGTGGTGATGATGATGATGATGATAGATAGATAGATAGATAGAGAGATATATCATAGTTGGTGGGTTTTGAACCAAATAATATAATAAACTAATGGGCCAAAAAATATAATAGACTAATGGGCCTGATTGAACACTATAATCGGCCCATGGACCAACTGAGAATAATATTAATTCTTATGACACCTATTAAATATAATAATAACCACAGTTTGTATGGAGGTTATGTTGTAAATTCATTTATGATGACTGAGATTTGAGATCAATTTTATTTATTTTTCAAAAAAAAAATCATATATATATATTGGACAAACCCGTCACCCAATTTTATGTATTGGACGACAAAAGATGGAGGCTTTTAACGGTCGATTAAATTAAAGGAGGCTAAAAAAAGGGAGGAGGAATTAATAAGAGCTTGTCCGAACAACCATGTTTTAAGCTTTGCTCTAACCATCAAAGCATTGACTTATTTGCAAAATGTCATTTAAGTTTTTATAGAAAGACCGACCAAAACCAAAGTGGTCACCTTTTTCTATTTAATAATAATAATAATAATAATAATAATAATAATAATAATAATAATAATCAAATTTTCTTCGTTTTCTTTTTCATGTTGATATATCCTGCATGGATTTCACACTAACGTTACATCATTTTCCCCTTCTGTCCCATTCGCATCTTATAATATCCCCCTTTCAATTAAATATCACGGCCGAAATGTTTTCGGGTTTTCTTCATCTTTTTTTTTTCCTTCTAGAGAATGATATCAGATTATATATATTCAAATGTGCCACTCATTTGGGATGTTTGTTTTGTTAATCAATCCAAATGATAGTCAATTTTAATTGTGGAGATTTTTTTTCCAGAATTTATTTATTAGTATACTTTGATTTGATTTGATTTGATTTATTATATTGAAAGTTATATTTAGTATAAATTAAAAAGAAATTATGTTATCTATTTAAACTATTAAAAAAATTAAAAACATTTTTTCATGATATTAATGTGTATAAAATATTTCTATCAGTTTTTGTTTCTACGAACAATGATTATATACTAAATTCTAGGTTAATATTATATTTTAAGAACAAACAATTTTTTTTTGGATTTTAAAGGTTTTATCCATCGTAAAAAATCGTCAAAGATAATTATTTATAAATGAAACGGAATCTACTCATTCTGTCACCACCATCATCGGACTCTTGTTCCACTGTCGGCATAACAACTTCTATCAAGATATATGGAGAATATTACAATAATATTATTCAAATATCTTTTTTTATAAGTTGGAAGTTTATCGAATCTTTGATCCGACTACATCTCCCAAAAGTTCATGTAAATGTTTTTCTCCAAGTGAAAACTCGAAATCGGATTGGAAAAGAGCTTTACTTTCAAATATCTTCTTCTTCAAATATTCTCGATGTATCTATTAAACAATGTGTGTGCTGATGTTTTCAGATACTACAAAAGTGATACATGACACAAGTGTTTTGGAAATTTATATATATAATATTGGAGATTTTAAAGTATAGATCATTCACATGAATTGGAGAATACAAAGAGTTTGAAAAAAATCATTTATGAAATAAGTGTTAGTGTCAAGATCTGAAAATAATTCAATCTCACGTTGTTAACACAGACAATATAACTATGGATAATATATGTTTGCTTGATTTTCGCATTTTTATATGTTCTATTTGTTTTGAGTTTTTTTTTTTAATAAATTGAATCATGACTTAAATTTCTTAGGAAACTTAAATCATTACTAATGAAATCATGAATATTTCTTAAAAAACTAAGTTATCTATTTAAACCCGTTAGATTATTGATAAAATACTAACAATGGTTATACAATTTGTCACTATTCACCCTTGGGAGATCCAATAGTAAAAAAATATACAAAATATGTTTTTATCTCGGGTTCAAATTCAAACGTGGAGAGAGGTATTCATCTATACTTCATCAATCTTTTGGGAGATGTAATTAGACCCGATGAACTTTCAGATTATTAAAAAAAATTGTCACTATTCATGGATAATCCTTCAAGGTAAGAGAAAATGATGTATCATGTAAAAGAAAAAAAGCGATTCGGGAAATGGATAGATAGATTGCTAACTAACATCATATTACATATTTAAAGATTAGTATAAAATCACAATCAGAGTGAGCAAAAGCACGCGGGCACGCATGAATTCATTTGGTGGACGTATTCCATCGATTCCAAATAAATGAAGAAATGGAACTATAAAACATATATATAGATATACATGACTACATGCACGAGAGAGGAAATACGCAAGTATGTATGCACGTAGAAACGTTATATATATATATATACACACACCACATGAATTCTACAAGAGTATATGAAATTATAATATATTTACAAAGATCGATCACGAAACCTCACGTTCGATCAATATATATATATACACACGTGTATGTATGATTCGTATTTATTATTAATAGATGACACTTTATGGCTTTAAGCATATCCTCAAGGTTCATATGATCATGTAGTTGAGGAACCCGTGACGAGTAAGACCCAAAAATCGTCATCACACATTTCTCATGTAACATATATGTACACATGTATACTTGTACCACGAATGCTTATAACATCAAATAACATGGTCCGTGATTTGAGCATATTTTAACTTTTCTGTTTTCTCTCTAAAAGATTTTGTGGGCATGCAACGGAGACAAAGCATATCACGACTCTTCTTAAACGTACTATATATCCATGTTTTTTTTTGGCAAATGCTAAATGCAATAAACTCACAACAGCTAAATTCCACAAACAACCATCAACTTCATCAACATATACATATACATATATATATACACATGCATGATGCACATCTTCTTACATGGCTAATAAAGCTGCTCCACATAACAATCCTCGAAGTTATCTAAACACATCTCCCCCACATGAACAGATTTTAGTACACTACACTTCCATGATGAGTGAGTGCATCGACAAGACCTTTTGACAAGGACACATTACATATACATGCGCACAGCGCATATAATATATATATATATATATATATATGTAGATGGATATGAACAAAAACAAATAATAACAGTTAATGGGGCCGAGAGGAGGAAAGGGTGGTCCAATGACATGGGTATCTTCAACACGTAAAAAGGTGGGATAACAATGTTTCTTCTATTCGAGAATCTCCACAACCCCTCGAATTAGCAAAGATACTAAGAACCCAACCCCCAAATGATATGACCCGAGGAAAAAGAAAAAAAGATGTTTTTGTCCGTTCTCGGACACGACCCTTCTACCGGTGGATATTCCGAAATCCAAAGGTCTATCCCTTCACATCAAAGAGTGGGGGATGATGTGAATGCACAGAAATTAAAAAAACATTATTATATAAAAGTGGAGAACCAAAGACGGCGTTATGGCCGGAGACAAAGTATATTATATATATGACAAAGTATATAAAGCTAAATCCATTTACAAAGACAAAACAACATAAACCCAAAAGCAGGGGATATTGCTTTTTTTTTTTTTATAACCCACTGACTTCATAAACCCACCAAACAAAAAGGATTAATTCTAAAATACCCATCAAACAAAATCTTCACAAAAGGAAAAAGGAACTAAAAAAAGATTAATTAAAATACCCAGAAAACAAAACATCTAATTCCAAAAGAAGGTTAAAGATTCGATTTTTTTTTTCATTTTTCTCTAAGTTTGTGGGTTGAAGTTAAAAAAAAAAAACTTAAAATTCCCTGGGGTCTACAAAAATAGAAAGGCCAGGTGGAGATTTGGTCCAGTCACCAACCGAGCCGTCACTGTAATCTTCTCCAAGCCGTTTGATGCACCAAAGATCCTCGGCGCACGATAGCATCTTCCAGTGAGGAATCCCCCGCCGGAATGGCTCCCCGCCGGCGACCTCCCCCGCCACGACGCCGCACCCTCCGGCCTTCGCCATGTTGTGAGCGTGCCCGCTAAGGGCCCTCACCATCCTCTCTGCCCGTGGGCCCTCTCCTCCGATTCCGTACATGAAATAAAGCCCAAACGGCCTGAACACCTCCGGAATCGACGGCAGCTTCAAAAACGGCAGCGTTTTATCGATCAGCCTCGTCGTCTTGGCCACCGTCCGTCTCACGCGCGACGCGCCACGCACTTCCAACCGGTACGCGTCCTTGCAGTTCCACACGCTCAAGACCGCCCACGACTCTGGCGGGTCGTCCAGGAACTTAACCGACCCGGGCCACGACCCGGTTCCTGAGTCGACACGTGGCACGGCGACGAAAGTGCCGAGAGAGAGCTTGTTGTTGAGGATCGAGTCGACGTCCCTGGGGAAGAACTCGGTGGTGCGGAACCGGAGCCGGTATAGCAACTCGGCGTCGATCGGGTCTAGTTTGAAGATTGTGACCCGCCGGTTAACGGAGACCCGGTGGGCGAAAACCGGGTTTACCAGGATCGACGGTGTACGGAACTTGGAGTAACCGCATTTTCCGGTGAAGAGCTCGACGGAGGCGTGGTTGTCGTTTTCTGTTGCGATGTAAGAATATTCGGCGCCGTTTTGTCGGAACCACTGTTCCATCCTCGTCACCAGCCTAAACCCTATCCCCTGCCGCCTGAGAAATCGAAATCAAAGGAGAGAGCTTTTTTAATAATTAGTAGTGATTAAAGGCGTAAACAATCAGTAATTACGGTGATTAGAGGGGGAGTAAGCGAACGGACCGGTGAGAAGGGGAGACGCGAAGGCCGAGGACGTAAGCGAGCTTGGTGTAGACGGGCTTGACGACGTCGTTTTGAGTTTTGTAAGTTCTGTCGAGTCTCTTGCCACATGTAACGGTTTTGATGCATCCCCTGATCATGCCCACGATCTCCTTCTTCTCCGTACCCATCTCAGCCACCTGTTTCATTATCATAAATTTTGCTTTTTTATCAGTTCATGCATCTCAGATTTGTAAAAAAAAAAATAAAGTCTTGGACTTTATGGTCAGTTCGTTACTGTTTATTTTTTATCGTTCGAACTTCACTAATATCAATACATGGGTATTGAGCTAATCGAATCAAAGGGGGAAAAAGGAAAGAGACCCTCGTTTTTGTTTTAGGGCGAGACATGGAAAAAGACGAACTTTTCTAAACTTGTATTTAGGAAAATGGGGTTTTAAGATTTGCGTATAGTTGGTTGAACTAAATCCGGAAAAAGGCGAGCGCGTTTCAACGCTGGAGTGAAAAAGAGGAAAAAAAAAAACACAAGACAAGGTCAAAAGCTCGTGTCTTCTTCTCCATCGTCATGAGTTTCGGATAACTATCAATTCGGGGAGAGAGAGAGAGAGAAAAAGGGTTAGAGCTTTTACCAGCATGAGAAAAGCGGGTGAATGTCGGACCCGACAAATCGGGTCGCCCATAAGGTCGGTGAAGAGAGAGAGTTTGCCGCTCGGGCCGACCTCGCACCTCCTCTCCACGTCCTCTACACCGGCTAAGTCTCTGGTCGGATCGTACTCTCTCACCGCCACCGCCACCACCTCCTCCTCCTCTGTCATCTTCTCTCTCTCTCTCTCGAACTCTGTTTCACTCTTCGACCCAAAACGAAGAAGAGGAAGAGACTCTGCGAAAACAGAGCAGAGGAAAGGAAGAAACCGGAATTCAGGGGGGCTTAGACGAAGAACAAGTGTAGCTTATTAGGGTTTATATAGAGAGGATGCGACTGAGCAATGGAAAGTCAGCAGATTTCCCGATAACAGAGGATTTGATTTTCTGTTTTTTATTTTTTTTTTAAATTTCCTTTCAACAATAACGTGAGGTATAAGCAAAAGAAGAGAGAAGCTATGAGATGGGGATTACAAGAAAGAGAAGGGAAAAAAAGGGTGTTTTTTCTTGCTTTGATTTGTTTTAGGGCGTTGAGAAAGGGGAGTTGTTGATGATGGAAGGAGATGCAAGAGGTCCTCCCTCAAAGCCTATTTATAGCGCCCATCCTTTTTGTTATTGCACTTTCCCTTTTTAGTTTTTACAAAAAGGATATTATTAAACTCATCACATATATATTTATATTCAAAAAATACAACTCGGGTATTGTTATAATAATGTTTTTGTCACTTATCAAATCTTACATTTTTAGACAATATGTTAACTTATTAATAGAAACATGATACCATCGACGTAACCAATAAGGAAATCTGAATTCACACTTTTCTTTTTTTTGTAAAATCCAAAGTATGTCGATTTTGTAAACTTTTAGTTCTCTATTTTTTTGCATGATTCTTTGCTTTAAAAAATTATCTTCTCTTTCCAATTTTCTATTTTTTTGGGCGAAAATTTTACATTCCTCTATTTTTTTATTTTCTCAATTCTAGATTTTTGTTTGGAAACTTATGACAGATATAATATTTCACCTGTAGTGAATTGGGTTTCAATTTTTTTTTTTTTTAAAAAAAAGGTGACATGTGAAATATAAATTGGATCAACAAAAAATTCCGAAAAGTAGAATAGTATCTACATGCGATTTAATTTGTATATAAATTCAAGAAAACTTGATCAGAGAGTTTTAATTGTCAACCATTAATCAGTTTTGTCTTCCCGAATTTTAATCTAGATTTATTTTCAGAAAATAATTTGTTTTCTCTTAGATTTATTTTCACATAACGAATATGGATTTATGCTATAGTAAAAAACCAGACCGCTTTTCTTCCTACGCAGATTATATTTGAATTCAATTTTTTTTTTCTAACCTTCCGTTATCATAATAAAGCTTCAATTTTGAAATAAAGTTACAATATGTAGTGATAATTACATTAATGGTAATTAAAAACTAGCATTAATATCGAACTTGCCCGAAAAAAGAAAGTGGGGAGTGGGGAGTGGGGAGTGAGATAGGAAATGGCGGCTATGGCTGCGCTAACTCATGGGTTCTCCCCATCGAATAAGATGCGTTTTTTATGGTATGATCTATTTATGCACAATCATTTGCTCCCACTTCGTCCATATAATTATCATCACGCATTGTTATCATTATTACCATTTACGTACGTGTGTGTGTAATGAATTAATGCTTCGATATTGCTTGGAAACAATAGTCTATGCCATGTATGTGACCATAATATGATAATGATCATACATTCATTACGCATATTATGTGGCTATGTGACCAATATGGACCAAAAGACAAGTGGCATCTCCCATATTTTTAAATCAACGTGGCGAAATATAAACCGTCCATTATCTCTTAGGGGCAAACCCGTGGAATCTCAGCCGTTGAAATATCCGATTTAAAATGTAGGGCCCACAAAGCATTTAACAGTTGCTGAAGCGGTGAGAAGGTAAAAGGCGATATAACAAACGATCATGATCTCAATGGACGGCTGAGATTTCTCACCGGGATTTCGTTTTCGTTACGCAGGCCTATCTGCGGGGAACCCTAGCCGTCTGATCTTACGATCATCCGAAAGGTCAATTCTCACGTCGGGTCCACATGACATCATGTTCCGCCGCCGCAGCAGATTGTAGCCATAATTAAGATGGACATTCGAAAGGGTTTATCTCTTAATAAATCTCAAATCATTATTTTAAGGTACATTAATTTTGAACCTCATGATGAGCCGTTTCTCTAGCTGCTCTCTGACTCCAAGTTAATCCGCAATTTTTTATTAAAAAAAATTAGTATAAGTTTGTATGTTTTTCTACATAAAAACACAAGTTCCTTAGTTTTAAAATATAAATATAAATAAGTATTCTGATATATTTGTCATTTCTCTCTGGTTTCAATAAAATATCAAAACAATATTTTATTCGTCTGGTGATATTTCGATATAATATTGATATCAGAACAAAATTTTGTTCGAATTTTTTTAATGTACAACAAAGGGAGCGTGTGAACAACTATAACATCAAACACTCAGATATGTTTCCCCATGGTATATTTTAGGTGAATCAAATATTAGGATTAATAAAAAAAAAGTTAATTAAACATAACAAATATAAGTACAAATGAAAAAATGATAAAGGAAAAATAAATGGTAGGTGAGTTAAATGATTAGTTGTGGAGGTTACAAGCTAACGAAAATTTTCGATATTTTAAAATGTTTGCCGAATACTTAATAGTTAATAATATAAAAAAAATTCAATTATAGTGTGATATATTCGCACGAAATTCACGGGAAAAAATTTATTGTATACAATGAAAGTGTAATCCGAGTCATATATATGTATATATTATGATTTAGTGTTTTAAGTAATATATATATATATATATATATTTATTTATTTATGGATACATATTTATTTATTAATTTATTTACGGGAAGACTGTTAACCTTACCAATATGAGAAACTAATCTCTTTATTTTATTCCACCTTAAAAAAGATATAATATCTTTAAAAAACTAAGAATAAAATAAATTGTTCTCCTTTATATTATATTATGTTTAATTCGCAGAATTGTTTTTTTGGGAAAACTGTAAGGATTTACGAAGGGTCCGTTGAGTGTTATAAATAAAGTTAATATATATGTACACTTTTATTCTATTTTAAAAAACAATATTTTTTTTGGGAAAGTATGGGGTATATGATCCAATACTTTTTAAGTCCCTCGGTCTACTAGTAATAATAATATAATAATTTAAATTTATAATGGAAAAATTAGGCATACTTTTATCGGTCTATGTTATGGATTTATCATTTAAGCTTTTATTTATTCTAAAACCCGAAACTGGCCTTTCATAGGTATCTATCATGCGTACATGATTAAGCTTTTCGCAAGAATTGACCCTTCGTATAATAAAAGCTCTACATATGTACACACCACATACATACATACATACATACATACATACATACATACATACATACATACATACATACATGATACATACATACATACATATGTATATATGTGTATGTATATGTGCATGTGCTGTAACTAAGAGAATTGGATAATATGCTTTAGCTAACTCATTGCTACAAACTTTCTATGTTTTCCAAACGAGCCTATATGTCCCAATTATGAATGGGTGTGCACGGGTCCATTCCAAATATTTGGGATGAGTATTTGTATTCAAATTTGAATATTTCGTATTATACGTTTTTTAGGGTATTCCAATTCGACCCGAATATATCGGATAATATTTTCTATTACCCGATTTCGTATTTGTGGGGTCGGTATCCGAATTTGAATACACCCGAAATAATTTTTTGGTTATCTACGGTATCTAAATCTAACAAAATTTAAATTCACACACGTCCACATAAATATTTAAATTTATCCCGAATCAATTCAAAACATATTATATCCAAAATATATACAATATATATAAAAAAAATCATCCTAAAACTATCCAAAAATTACCACTTGTAATTTTTAAAATCAAATAGTATAACCTAATTTTCAAAAATCAACATTTATATTCAATAAAAATAGATATTTATTTTTAAAATTATGGGGTAAAATTTTAAAATTCAATATCCACGGACACTGCAAAATTTAAAAATTATAGAATATATATAATTTCATAAATAATTTTTAAACTCCAAGAGTAAAAATAGTAATTTTTATCTCAAATATCCACGGACACCGTGAGATAATTATCTTGTATCCAAACCCAAATATGAAGTTTTAGATATTTTAATATCATTATTCGATCTTATGGTTTATCATTCTAATACCCAAAATTTCAATTATCTAAACTGTAAATCGTATTGGATATCCAAAATTCGCTCTTTTTTCCATTATAATTTATATTATTTTGCTTGATCGAATTATTTCTTTTCATAAAAATGCTATAACCCATTTTTTTTTAAAAAAAACTTCTCGGCTGACGTGGATATATCATTTATTCAATTAAATAATGTCAGTTGAAAGAAATGAGGTTATATATAGGATGGTATGCAAATGACAAAAGCGCTTACGTATAGCTTTCACGATAAACAGAGAGACGCAAAATCGCAATTAGACAAATGTAACGGTGCGAAGTTTCAGGCACTTGTTCCCACTTTTTCTTCCATTATTCAATTTTATAATATATGAAAGCTCGATCATATTCTACAACAGGGCATGCATGCGTACGTACATATTTCAACACATATATATATATATATATATATATATATATATATATATATATATATGTTACGCCTTGCATGGTTGGTTAGACCTACAAAACGCCAAATGATTTATATTTCATTAAATGTGGATATAAACTGTAATTAGAATAGAGAACGATAGTGAATGTTTAAACATGTACGCGGGACCGCATCGAATGACGCGAACTGTCGAGTAATTAGCAGACATATCATATTGTCTTTGTTCAAAATTAACATGTCTAGGGTTCAGCACGTACCATATTACCGTAATAATTTACGTATGATTAATCGTGGCGAAATAAACAAATTAAAAGGAACATACTAATTCCACGACAATTTCCTCGAGAGCGTCGACGAGACGATGTTGTTAATTACCCCCGTCTATTCTAAATTCTAAATCTCTAATATTTGTGTGATCCGTACATGCCCGCTAGTGGATTATATTTATAATTATTTTTATTGCCAGAGGACAGCTATTATTGTAGGGCCGGTGGATTTTTTTTTCAATTCTGCGTATATTTCTATGCTATTTTTAGGGTAAAATCCCTAAAAAACCTCCAACTTGCAAAAATATATACAAATAAACCTTGAACTTGTAACTTATCACTGAATAAAACCTCGAACTTGCAAATTATTGCTCTAATAAACCTTTGACCGGTTTGACCACAATTTCAGACGATCGAAAATTCATGTATTAACGGATTGCTGATGTCACCTTATACATGTTATCAATTTTAATTTAAAGCAATCCGTCAATACATGAATTTTCATTCGTTTGAAATTGTGATCAAACTGGTCAAAGGTTTATTAGAGCAATAATTTGCAAGTTCGAGGTTCTTTCAGTGACAAATTATAAATTTGGGGATTGAATGACAGTTTTT